AATTCGATGTAACTCGATTATAAATAACAATGAAAAAGCAATTCACGTCGGTCAGCATTGTCACTGCTTTATATTTACCGAAAATTGATATTCGCCTAAAAGCCCGAGAGTAAATTTGCTCAGAGAGAGCGCGATTTATATAGTGTCGATGAAAATACGCAGCATCGATTAATTATACGGGAGAAAATGCAGTTTACGCATAAAACGCATTTATTTCGTAATTTTCGTAAACGATAATTTGCGTTTACTTGTTTAACGCGCGCAACGCGTGCAACTAACTATCGCGCGTTATATGATGCGTTTCTCGTTATATACACATAACAAGAGAGAAAATATCAGATATTATCTATTATACACTAATTTTTTTTATAACAGCGCAATGTATAAAAATTAAAAATACAATGTTTCGAAAATTCGCGATAGCTCAAATCCTATGCTATAAAAGATGACATAAGCTTAAAATCCCGCTTAAAATCTATATCTATACATCGCAAAAATGTATGAAAATTGCCAAGAGTGTTTATATTTCTCATGCGGTACTTCGAGATGATAAAAAAGTAACGTAAACCTTCTTATCCATTAAAGTGTAACATTTTGCTGTTAAAGCGTATATATTAGTTTTGCGATTTTCTATTCGCGCGATATCATATCTCTTGAAGGTTTTCATGCACACATATATCGACAGTTGCAGTAAATAACGTGAATAGGATCTGCTTATGCTATCGAGGAAATTGAAAATTTTGAATATCATTGCTCAGCAGTATGCACATGTGTGGACATGTGTTTTCGTGTCTTGCTTCGTTCGCGCTTTAGCTTCAAATTACACTTGGCGCACGTGAATCCTATTACGCGAATATATTGTCACGTGTTTTATTTTTTTTATTTTTAAGCCTTGACTCTTTCATTAATTTATTTATATTATAAATATTTATATCATTTTTTTATATAACACATAAGAATCTCTACTTTATTTTGTTGAGTAAATTTAAAAAATGTAATTTATTTGGTATTTTTCAAGCGCAAAATATTAGGAAAAAATATTGCATTTTTTTGTATTAGTTAAATTTTGCTTTCTTTCGAGTAATGACTTGGTTTTTTTATGCAGCACGAGCTATATATACCACTGTAGTGTTATATTGATGTAATGTTTTATTCCATAACATCCCTTTGACAATTTTTTTCCTGAAAGATGCGCACATACACATACATTGAATCTAACAATTCCGCCAGCTAGATGTAAAAGGGTAGAGAGAGTTCATGCATCTATAACAAATATGCGTGTTTTACTATTATAAAACATGCGCACTTTTTTCGAGATTTAAATCCATTCAAATAACAATTCGCAAAAATACTTTTTACATCAATTCACATGTAACACTACTTACATTATTTAACAAGTGTCTAGCATATTAAAGCAACAAAGATATATTTTCATCCGATCAATAATACAAATATAATTTTCTTTCTATTATCGTCTAAGCGATTTGTGAACGTGAAACCGTCTCCGGTTAGAAAGGGCTATGTTTCTCGAACACAGCCCAGATATTTAGCATTTATATACGTGACGTAACCGCGTTACCAGGCTATACGGTGCACTCCCTGATCGATAAGCGTACATCTCCGGAAGAGGAGGAAGAGGAGGCAGAGGAGGATGGGTCCAAGGCGCGCGAGAGATTTTTGTCGCAATCCGCGACAGTTTGATAGCCGCTCGCTCACGCTCGCGCCCATAGATAGATACGACATAGAGAAGGGGGGAACACCTCGTTCTATAGCGCGTCCTCTGCCTGGGGATTTATTGTCGATTTCGCAGAGCGCGTCGTGCAATCGGCTCGTCGAGAAAATTTCGACCGATCGGACGAACACGCCGGGCTGTCGATAAGCCGTGCGATGCGCCGTTAATCTGCATGCGCGCGCGTAGTTCAACGCGTGCGTACCGTTCGCTCGAATCTACTTCTCCGAGACTCGCTCGAAGGCAACATAACGATGCGGTGAGGTCGAGTAGCACTTATCTTCCTTCGTAATTTCGAGAAAACGGAAAAAAAGACTTGATCTCTTTAACATTTTTAATATCTCTGTACTTGAGAAGGATAAGCATGTGTATAAAGTTAAAAAATCCATTTTTTCCGGGAAAACATAAAAAAAATCATGAATGTGGAAATAAATAATACGTTATATATTTAGGATTAAATAAATGAATATAAATGTTAAATCAAAAACAATGAAACTTGTTTGCACTATTTTTATAGCGTAAATCTTCAAGATTAGAAAATTTTTAAATGGGTTTTTTTTTCATAAAAAGTATATACTAATTATTTATGACTGCGGCAATTATTTATTGCTGTATTATTAAATATATTGCTTCAAGTAATCATATTTGGAAACTTTGAAATTACATCTTTAATAATAAAATGTACGCGAGCGAAATTACTACGGATATTGTGGTAACGTGAGAAACTCTTTAACGAATTTTGCCCTAATTATCATGGTAATTAAACTTAATTTCATAACTTTATTCGCTTTAATTTTGTAACCTAAAAAACGTGCTTCTAATTACTCTAATCACTTATTATCTCGCAACAAAATAGAGTTTTCTATGAACGTTCTTGGTTGGATAAATCATAACTCGACAGTAAGTCCTTTCACCGATGCGTTCGCCACAAATAATTGACAACCGAGATTTATAATATTATTTACATTACGATGATACTTCGAGGAGGCTCTGTTGACGCAACTTCGAAGGAATCGTTTCACAAGTCCACGATTAAATCTCGCGACCTTGTCAGCAGGGCTCCACGTTGCTGACATAACGACATATGCTCTCAATGACAGTCAGGAACGTCGCTGTGACTTAATAGCATCGACCACTGGCATGAAAACGAACGTGTCAAGCATCTATGAGATCACTGCCGTATTCATCTGTATATATATTTTTTGCATATGAAAAATAAACGATTCCAATTCCTGCTTTTATTTTCATGAAAGCAAGGCACACCAATCTACAATTTATATGAAGATTGTCTGCTTGTCTTTATCATATTATTTTTTTCTTGAATATCAAGAAAGTACAAAGCCTAATAATATATATCTACATATATTGGTATAGAATATAAATTTAATTCAATTAAATATTGGGCATTGATCTTACTTCTATGAAATCAAAATAGAATTTTAGACTTTAAATTTTCATATATTACATATTGTGTGTGTCATAATTAAACCTGCGATTAAAGCTGTAAGTACATTTGATTTTTATGCATATCATACGTTTTTGTTTTGATATTTCTTTATTTTGATTTATTATGTGAATTTATTACGTAATTTATGCAAGAGATAAAAGGTGAACGGAAACATGGTCTCGCAAAATTATGACGTTTCTTTGTGAAATTGCGGCTGCTTCCAGTCGCATGCGACGTCGTAACGCATGACAGTATTTGTCGCCTTAGGCAAAACGCCACTCTATTGTAATTATACGTTCGTAATTATAGAATCCCACCCATGCGAGAACGAGGGGAGAACAGCGGTTGGAAATACGCGCGCGATAACGACACATCGATAATATTTCAATAAACAGATTCTTTTTTGCGAATCGAAGAAACGATAAGGAGCAATAACTTCACGTGGACCACTTTCTGTTTTGCCGTCACTGATAATTCGCGATAATTGCATGCCGCAAATATAACGTCGGCGGGATCAATCGAGGCGGAAGTTAGCTTATATCGAGAGTAAGATAGCGAGTAATTACCGGCTATTAAATTAGGTAATGATACACCTGGCACACAACTGGAAACTTTTCTTCTAGGAATTTATTAACCCTTCCATATAGACTTTTCTTAGACATTTATCATTTAAAATATTAAAATACTGGAACTTTTACCGAGTATTAATTTCAAAAGTAGTTTTTATATATAATTAAATTTAACATGTTGCGGCTTGATTTAATTTGATTTCTCAACGCTCTGAATTGTAGGTTTTAATTTCAGCTTTTTCAAATAATTATGAACTTAGATCGTTATTAAACAACGAGTTAATTACGTCGTTTCTCATATAGGGTATCGAAAAAATTTATGTGAATTATAAGCATAATATATAATTTAAAAAAAAGTTCGTACAATCTGTTCAATTATGTTTGTCCTACGGTTTCAATAAAATTGCAGTAAAAAAAAAACCACATCATATGAGATTAGAATATCTAAATTTTTTCAAAAGTTGCTATCTATATGAATCATAATTTTGTATTTAAAAAAATCATGTTTCCAATTATTGTGATATTCAATTATGCTACTGAATGATTTTGTATAAAACTGGCGATTAAGTATATTAGTTCCTTTCGCAGTACACTTTTTATCACACTTTATCGTGTGTGTCGGATAACCCTGAAGAAAATAAGTATCAGTTTCTTAACTTATGTCGAGGTCTCTCATATTGTGCAATTGAAAACGTGTAAATATTTGAAAAACATCTTTTAATTGGTTACCCCCAAAACAATTAAATATCAATAATTACATCAGCAGGACTATGGTATGCGGGTACATAACGAAATTTCATAGTATCTGTTAATTAACAGTTATTAAATTTGCATAATGCCCTAATAGGATTTTCAATTGATCTCCATTTGCGATAACGTAATTAAAGTGCCCCGTATAAATTCCTACGCTACTATCAATGAGACCACGTTTAATTATATGCAATTATGTGGGACTTGTATAATCATAGAGATTATTAGATCTTTCCAGAGTAAAGTCAACTCAGGTGGCACGTGTTATCGTTGTATGTTAAGCTCACAACGTCGCATTAAAGAAAAATGTAACAAGAAGAGATAAAACAGAAGTTATATTTTTATATTATTTGTTAATCTAAAGAAGATTTGAACATATAACTTGTGTATAATTTTGAAATAACATTTTACATTTTTGTTCTAATCAAACAATTTTAGGCACACTTTAGTTTAATTCGACATACTTCAACACACGTTATCATCTTTGTGTCAGAGAATTACTTACCTGCTCGTCAATGGTCAAGATCACCCGCTAACTGACTCTCGCTACAAGCCCGCTGCTAACAAGTCTCATTCGCGAACACGCAACGTGCAGTTTCCGCGCGGACCCTTCTTTCTCTCGGTCACGCTCGTTTACGCCACATCCCAGGTGCTAGAACGTGTATTTCTCCCGTGGCGAATTAAGACACGTTGCTCCGAACTCCGAAATTCACTCTCTCTCTCTCTCTCTGGAAATTTCGCGCTGATACCGGCGGCACTGAACACCAAGTCTGCTCGGCTCCAAGGTGGTCCCCTCGTCGCTCAGTCTTTAACAGCAATCCAATTTGCAACGATCGATGCTACTGTAGGTGGAAGCGCGTCGACCAGTCGCGTCGAAGAATCTCGCAATCTTCCTCGGGGCGGCGAGTTCTGGTCGATCTGTTTCCGAGGAAGTTAACCGATTGAATGGTCCCGACGTGAACGATCGACATTAAAGTATGGCAATATGGCAGGCGAAATGTTTGTTCGTCGAAGTGTCGATATCATTCTTGATGTGTTTGAGAAACCTTGGGAGATTCGTTATTTCGAATACTTGGACTCGTCGAAACACCGAATTGAGGTCGATAAAACGAGGAAGAAACTTAGGAAGCGTGGTAAATTAATCGCGATCAAACTATCCGTCTGGTCGAGATTTCAACCCCACCGTCGAGGAAGGGAGGAATCTTTTACCATCTTTTTCGCGAGAAAAATACGAGTTAAGGCGAACGATCGTTGATCATCAGCTGAAAACTTTCCGATGTCATTTGTTGGAAACTTTCGCGCCGCGTCTTTAATCGCGTACCACGGATACGATACTCACGATGTTCAAGTGTGAAAAATGCACGTTCGCCCCTCCTGGTTCGCGGCCACGCGTTTTTCACCGTCGTCGGCCGAGGTGTCACTGCTTCGACGTGCATCCTCGCGATTTATAAAGCCTCGCCGTCTCTCGTCTACGATGGCTCTTTGCACGCCGCGTGTGTGTCAGTCTGGCCGTCGTTATTATTCCCCTGCCAAGTGGCCGTTTCTCCCTCCACGCAATTGCGAACCGTTACCACCCACCGTCACGTCGCTTGTGTTAAGTCTAGAGCCTAAAGCCGGAATCCGGCACAACATTTTGCAACTTACTTTAGTTTACGTAAATTTTTTTGTAATTTAACTGAAAAGAACAAGAAAAACTTATTTTTTCGTCAGAACCGCAATAAATCGTGAACAATCACTTCTTATTTACAGAATAAATGTAAATAAATTATGGCTAAATTCATAGCAAAATTCGTAAAATAAGTCTCTTTGGCATTTGCTTAAAATTATCTATTGTTTCATCAATTTATCTTTGATAATACATACGTTGAATGAGGATTAGTTTAGTCCAAATATTTAAGAAAAATCGCATTTATCATGTTACTCGATAAATGATCATGTTGTTGAAAAGCAAATCAAACAAAGGAATTTTGTTTTCATATAATTTAGGCTTAACGGATGAGTTCATCCAATCTATGAAATGATTGACGCACTACGGACATAGTGACAAGAGAACTGTAGACATTCATTTTAGGAATCGATGCCTCTGACACTGGTTAACCCTAATTAAAGTTAACTGAATTCGTTCTCTCTAGATGATCATATCATGTGTGACACGAATAGAAAGATATGGTACGCTGAGATTAGAGTTAATCAACATCGCGGGAATCGACAATAAAGAATGTGTCATATATATATGTAATGCAGAACATTGACGAAGGAGAAAAAAATGCATAATGTTTATTTAAACTTTTTTATTTATACGTTTATAAATGAACAGTGTGTGAATCTAAAATTTAATATTATAAAATATATCTGCGACAGAAAATTTTGCTGTAACATTTTTTTATCGTCTTTCTTTTCTTGAATCGACATCACTTATTACACGTATGTACTATATATTTTTACAGTCAATTGCCGCAATATTAATTAATTCCAAGTCTTAAAATTAAGTATAAATTATGTATTTGTCGTAATTAATTTCATATGTATAAAATATGTAGACAACAAAAATTTCCGCATTCACATGTTTATAAGCGGAAAATACCTAGAAGTAGTAAATTTTCTTAAAACAAAGTTAATGTACATTGTTTGGATTATCTTTGCACGTCAAAGGCTAGCAAGAGATTTTTCTCATGAACTTGGGAGCTTCTTATCTCAACCGTGGAAAAAAATGTTGACAAAAGTTTCAAACAAGATGGTTTGTTTTAACTTCTTCTTACAATCTCGTTAACATATAGAGTAATAATGCTGCGCTTAGTGACCTAATTTCGCGATAACATTTTTATCGAAATAAAAGAGTTTGTTTATTTTAACAAGCTTTTTGGTGTATTTCGATATAATTTATTTTCATGATTTTTTAACAATTTATTTATTTATTTATTATTAATTTATTTATTTGTGTGAAATGAAACGAAAATATTGGCTTGCTTTTAGAAAGATTCAATCGAGAATATACGGGATGTAATTACAAATTTTGTGATTTAATTTTAATTAACTTTATGACACTTCGTGCATGCTTTAATTTTTTTGCTGTTTAATTTAATTTAAACAGTTATTAATTTCGCTGCTTTGTCACGCTCCACTGTGTGTAGTTAATGAATTTAATTTCGTTGGACTACAATCATAATCAGTTAATTCGCTCCACACAAATACGGTCCATCCCTCATTCAGCTGCTATTCAACATTTACTTTAAACGGGTTCTTCTCGAGCAAATATAACCCAAAAGCGGACGATTACATATTTTACTCTAAACGTGCGCAGCGAGGATATAGTTCATATAGTTAACTTTTCGATATAATAATCTAATTTTTATTGCTCGTTGTCAGAATTAGACATATAATTAAATGTTCGTTTGTACGCTTGAAAATGCTTATTTCTGCTCTGGACAGAAGAGATTCGTTGCTGTTTCCTCTTGTATTCCGTAAGGATAATTTATCAATAATTAAACGAAACGATACTAGGATGTTAGACATTGAAACACCATGCCCCTCTATTAAAGGAATACACTAAATCACAGATAGAACCGAAGTTGCCGGCTAACTAAAAAATCCGATAACTCAATCCACGAAATTGGTAGAGAGAACAGTTCGTTACGAGTAAGATGTAATTTGAGGGCAAGGAAGAAGTCAAAGGTACAAGAGAATTAAGTCAATCCTATAACATTTAAATAAAATATATTGAAATAACGAGATTAATAATCGAGTATTCACTTGAATGACTTGCTTTCGTATGACCAAGGACAATCACGCGGCGTGATAACAATGCAATAAATGAATGTTAACGGCGATGTTAATGGCAAATCAATAACTGCAGAATCTCGCAACAACTGAATGGTAAAAACGAAATTTCAAATAGTTCGGCACACACAATTCACGCGAGTAGTACGAACTCATACTTCGATAATACACAGATAAAAATATCTCATGTAAGTCATGTATTTTGATGAACTAGCTAGAATATATATAATGACTGTGTGCGTGCGTGGTGTCGACGACTCCGAAAGAGAGGGGTGAACTTTAAATTCACGAATGCGATCGAATGGAGCAACGCATTTGCCGATCTTAAATTTTAGACGATTCTGCTTGCGAGATCTCCCTCGTAATCATGGTTTATGTGGAGTGTTGCTTTTCCCTTCGCTGTTCTCAACAGGTCTCGCTCGTGCCTCGGTGTTCGTCGGCATCCGGATTGCTGCGAGATAATTAATGCAATAGCAACAGTATCTATTCGAGCTAAATGCGAACGAAATTGGAAAAGGGCGATACAACCTGCGCGCTTTGTTGAGTTCCCTGTTCGTTCCCTTGACGACTGTAATTTCCTTTACACTGATACACTCCGCTGGTCGGAAAAGATGTCGTCGGATGTTAGCTTACAGTAATCGTCAATATGCTTGCTAATCGCGCTCTTAGGAAAAGAATTAATTGCGCAAAAAAGAAATCGCAGATAGCGAAAAGTTCTTTTCCGAGCTGGAAGGATGCAGGATCCGCTCCTCATCTCTGCGGTTGAACCTTGCGACTTTTGTAGCGGACGACCAAATGGCATCATTCTACGTGACATTTTTTTTTATTTTAGTTTTTTGTTTCAGTTTCAAACGCGCGTATGAATGTTATATCTTGCACTTATATTTAAAATGCAAATTTTGTATTCCCTCTGCAGTCGTGCGCGCTGTTGCAGCTTCTACTTTTGCACGTTCTGTCAGTAATTATATCGTTGCGCAACATTTTTTCGCTACGCTTTTCTGACATTCTCCTCTTCCGCGAACGAGGAAGCTCGTCGTATTCGTTATCGCTCTTCCGTCTTCCCCGGGCCGAGGTTCGCTACGATTCTCTGTTCTGTGATGGCGAGACAGTTTCGGAGCACGAAAAGATAATGTTTCGGTAGGTGCGCGTATGCGGCCCGAGGCGTTTCAGGGCGAACAACGACGCGATAATGTGTACAGATACTGCAGCCGACTGAATTCGCCTGCGCGCACGCCGGCCGGGCGAGCGCCAACGTCGTCCCAGATGCAGAGACGGAACATTAACGTAACGCGAGCACGTCGACACGTTAAATTTGCACGTGAGAATGCATCTGTTCGTACATGTTTGTGTGCGTGCGTTAACGATCGCGCCAAGTCCGTTGATGAAAACGAGTATGCGCGAACGTCGGTTTGCGCGAGAACCACACGGTAAATTAATTAATTAAACCGTTTGTTAACGGAATAATTAACAGGTTATCTAGTGACGTTAACGAACAGCACGACGCTAACACAAATAGATTGTTTATTACTTGATAGCCAAGAAAATTCGCGTTATTACATATTGCATATTTATTAGGAATTATTCTTGTGACATTATACAATAATTGTATAATACATTGTCGAATACTCTGCATATTACAAATACTTTTGATCGATTAATCCAATAAATTGACTCCATAACAGTCATAAGTCAAAATCAATCTTATCTATATATATGTTTTATTGGGCGCTTTATTAACAGATAAAAAGATACATTCTCTTTTAATTATTTACGGTAATAATTTGTTTTAATTTAAAATTCTATTTATCAAGAATTGACGCGATCGAAGTTCATAGTCTATATACCACACGTGATTCACGATCTCTCCTGTGAATTCATCACTCATGGGGAAAAACGGCCGACGCGATCTTCTTGTTCCGCTCATTCTAAATAATCTCGTTATCTCGTCGAACTTCGAATTAATTCCGCGAATCGCGGGTGCGCGGATCGACCGCGGTCAAATTAATCTTCACCAGCGAAGGAAAATAACGAGTTCGGTATTGTTGTGGTCGTCACTGCATCTGGCCTGTCGATACAGGAGAGAGCTGCGGCGAACGTGTGCACGTCCGCCTTTTTATTTTCAATCGAGAACGCGAATTGCAACCACACCAGATTTTCACCGATTCTCTTCTTGCGTATTAATGTGACACCGATCGTAAATCAATCCCGTTTTCAAATTTGGACAGTCAATTTGTCTTTCAGTTTTCCTACATGGCATATTTTAAATTTGCTAAGCCGGATTAACAGATAATGTATATAGGTGTGAAATTAATAATATTGAATTTCATATATAAAATATTAATGACTGCTTCTAAAGTGGAAGATCGATTACATCATAAGAGTCTGGAATACAGTACTGTACATATTAAAACCTCCCCCAAAAACCTAGATTTATTTAATCCATATTGGTCTATATTTAATATCAGAATTATATTATTAATCTATGACATTTGCCGTAAATAATGAATGTTGCGGATATCAAGAATGAAACATGGATCAATAAAGGATTGGTGATGGCATTAAAGGATTAAAACTAAATTCACACTTTGCGATATGCGTCGTATTCCGCACAGTATCGATGATCGCTTTATCCATAAATTCTTGATCAATTCGCAATTTTCCTTATAAAGCTTTTATCAAATGC